TAAGAATGATGGCACCAACATTAAATACCAAGATTAATGCTTCACCATAATTAACGCTCACCAAGAAAAGAAGGTTGCAACAATGTGAAATCAGTAAAAGGTGGAACAAAAAGACCTTGTTTAGCACAGTTTCACTTCACGAGGGAAGTCACTTTTTTTCTTCAGCTCCACAAGTAGCTCTACAGTGGAGTTAAAACTGTTTTGATGAACCATTTGGCAAGACGTCAACATGCTTACCCAAGACCCAACTTCTTCACTACTTGAACTACTTTCTATAATTCCCAGATTCTGCTTATTATGCCTGAAGGAGTGTATTCAGACTGAATAAGTAAATAAGGCACGGAGCGATAGAACATCTCTCAATTCACTAAGAATGAAATACTCTTGCTAACTTTCTATCAACCACACTTCAATCTAATCTCTACATGTGAAGCTCCTTAAAACATGCTCTCATAAAATCCCACACATGGGCCACTAGAACGAGTGGGAGCCAGCAAAAGCTACTATTTTCAGCTCCATCTTCCATCCACCCTCTATGAGAGCAAGTTTAAGTTTTAAGGAGCTCTTCAGGTGAATTATTTCATTTTACCCCTTTGACACAAAATGACTCTAAACAGCTTCTGGGCTTGATGGTGGAGCTGTGCCAAACAGCCAAAGTGGATAAGTTAAGGGATGGGCTCCTTATATGAAGCTAGGCCCATGATCCCTCCTTAGGAAGCATGTAAGCCCAAGATGGTGGAAAATCCAAGGGGAGTAACACGCAAGACCTGAGGTTGTGAGGTTGATTCCTGGCAACTACATGCACGTGTATTTTTGCACGAAAGCTATGTGACTTTGACTTGCGACAACGTGACCGTGAGGCTACCTAGTAGAGCCTTCCCCAATTAATTCTATTCTATTTTTTTCCCTAATTTGTGATTTCAAGGGGTGGCTGGATCTAGAGCTGTCCCTAGAAATTGATTTGTAGAGGCGGAGCCACCTCAACCAAATCAATTATAGGGGTGGTTGGATAACAGCCTTTTATAAATCATTGATTCGTAGAGACAGACAAGTAGAGACGGATGGGCTAACGGCCTCTGCAAATGCTCTACGTAGCCGTGGTTTTTGTAGTGCATTTAATACACGTATTGTATAGATAAATGAAAACATAAAGTCGTACATAATAGAATATAAAATTGGAAGATTCTTTGAAATCGTTTGTCTGGAAATACCAAAAAGCTATGCTAATTATAGGTTCTTCTCTCCATTATAACATTAAGATTGTTGCACTTATTCCTAAACTGGATGAAGAGATGAGATTGAACAAGGGCCTATCTTTTCTTATCAGAGGTTAACTCGACCATCAAAAGAAAAATTAGGCCAAAAATTAGAGTAAAGTATGGAAAAATGAAACTTCCACGAAAGAGAAGCAAATGAAATACTTTCATATAAATTCTCAGAGAATGGACGAGAGGAAGTTTCCAATCCATACATGCTAATTGCTAAGCATGCTCACCATCTGAGGATAATTGAGCTTCTTATGGTGGAACCTATCCATCCGTATTTAAGTCCTCGACTGATGCGGGTGCTATATTTTTATGAATTTATTTTATAATTTAATGATGCTTATTTCACTGGTAGACTACGTATAAATTTTCTAAAATACAAAATTCATTTCATTGTAGTTAATGACGAACTTCTAATGTTCCTAAATTCTATGGCCTCTCCCTGTCTCAATGATTCATAACGATTCATGATAACATAACTATTAATCTTTAAGTTAACTATTATTTTAAATTAGCCGCCATGGTGAAATTGGTAGACGCATTGCTCTCTCAAATATTGCTTATTTCATATAAAAGGAAATCCTAATGACTAGAATTCTCTAAGTTTTAGAATGTCTTGTTTAAGAGATTAAGTATTTTTTTATTGAAATTCAATTATGGAATAGCTTTCTAAACTTAATTAACTATATGAATTGAATTTTACCTTCCTTCTTTTATGTCCCCCTCTCATATAAGTAGGATTTGTGTGCTTGTGCTTATAGGAGTGTATGTGCATATATGAGTATATGAGTTTGTAGTGTAATTTTATTTTTTGCTGCGCACACTTAAAGTTAGGAGGTGGCGGACGGAAACTGGGTGGCTGCTAAATTGTGGGAGAGGATTTGGAATATTTTTGCTTTTTTTTTCTTGACCCAAACCCCAATAAAACCTTACCATTCCAAATTTAAGCGACAAACCAAATGTGTGCGATTAGGATTCCGGTTTGCAATCTTTTCCGGACAGCATAAATGATCACCAATTTTCGAAACATTGTGACCGATATCATCTGAGCCAAAGTTTTGTATTTATCCGACAAACCGTTGTATGTCAAACATATAAATGAACTCTCCCACGTATTCCACCTACTGTGCCAACTAATACATGTGTACTATTTCGTCTACTTCAAATTTTGTAAGTTTCTTCTTTTAGAAAACTTTTTTTAGATAAGATACATCATTTATTTAGAAGATAAAAAAGACTTACGATTTGAAAGGCAGAGACTAGAGAGTACCATACACCCAAGTGTTTTGTGCTCGATCAACATATCGTGGCACCATCTAACCCAACGAGGTCCTTATAAAAAAAGAAAGGATAAAGCACATTTTTCAACCTCCAACTCTCATTGAAGTTCGATTTTTAACCTTCAACTATGAAACCGGCTAACAGACACTCTCTAACTGTTAAAACTGGATAAATTTGGTCCTTGGCTGGTTTCAAAATTGGTTTTCTATTTTCTAATAATAATAAAAATCGGTTTGATCTCTAGAAGTTCGTAATTAATTTATTTTAAATTATAAAAATATAAAACTAGTTCATGTTTTCTTCTAAAAATGTTATATATATGTTGATGTTATATTTAAAATTGTTTAGACCTTACTTGTTTCAAATAAATAATAAGCGTGACAACGAGCAATGACGCAATAGGAACATAAATAAACCAATTCCAAATACCTATATATAGACCATAAACAATTCTAAATATAAAATCAACATATATATAACATCTTTAGAAGAAAACATAAACTAGTTTCATATTTTTATAATTTAAAATAAATTAATTACGAAAGTTCTAGAGATCAATCCGGATTTTTATTATTGTTAGAAAATAGAAAACCGCTTTTAAAACCAGCCGATGATCAAATTTGTCCAGTTTTGATAGTTGGAGGGTGTTTGTTACCCGGTTTTATAGTTAAAGGTTGAAAATCGAACTTCAATAGAGCTGGAGGTTGAAAAATGTAGTTTACCCAAAAAAAAAGAAAAGGTTAAAAAAAGCAGCTGGCCCCCACGTCTGCTCTGGAGTCTGGACCAAACCACCCGCGAGCTCAGGAATGCGTTATGCCCCACAGAGGCACAGACAAACGGCCATCGATCGATAGCAAGCCATGCGCCTGAATGGACACCAACGTTTCTCTATGCGCCTAAGCTAACTCCAAGAGCATATAAAACTGGATCTTTAAATCGGCACGAATTAACCGAAAGGTGCAGCGCTGCTTCCGGCAACTCCGATCCTCAGTGCCGAGAGGCTCCACCATGGCTGATTCTTGCTCGTGTGCATCTGGTGCTTCTTAGATTAATCTGAAAAAGATCAAGGCAATGACTGAAGCAGGAACATTCAGGGTTCTGAAGTCTGCACCCGGCCGTTGGTTCTTCTTCAGGTTCTTCAGGAGAGCCAGAACGCGGCTGCGTACAGAAGGCGAAAACGAACCAGCATGGTACCAGAGCTCAGCGTTCATCAGCAAGGTGTACGCGTCATACCAGCAGGCGCTCGCCAAGCACAAGACGAGACACCGGAAGCCACTCACGACGCACGCGTCAACCTGCCGGCGCTTCGTCGGGGGTGGCCGCCACCGGCAAGAACTTGTCCAGGGCACGTGCCCTTCGAGCTCGGTTTGCTCTCGAGTTCCTCCGCCGCGGCTAAACCTCCACGGGACGAACCGCCTGTCCAGCGACGGCCCATGCGTCATTAGGGTGGCCTGCAGATGACCTGTCGTCCAACTAACCACTCACCGGCATGAGACCGACGGACCTCGGCAAGTGCCCGCAGCAGGAGTCCTCGTTCATGCAGCAGGAGCCCTGGCGACGACGGCACGGCACGGACGATGTTGCGGCTCCTGGCGAGGGGGACGACGACGCACGCGAGGAAAATGCCGCCGGCCGCGCGGCGGATAGCGACGCGCCTGTCCTCTTTCTTTGGCAACCGAGATGAGAATGAAGATTCCGTTGGACATGATTTTGGCTCAAGTGCCATGTTCTTCAGTACTTTTCAGTGAACGAACAGTGTTTTTCTCTCACAATAAATAAGCATAAGCATAATCCAAATTTCAGCGAATTCGAAGCCGTAAGAGTTGCTCTGATTGCACCACGTCCGCGCGTGCGTGTCGATCGTGAACCGCTCGCCTGCAGTCTGTCCGCGCACCGGTTTCTCCTGCCTTGGTGGGATAGGAGGGTGCTCGAATTAACCGTACCGACCCTCGCTCCGTGGCCCAGTCGTGAATGCCTGAACGACGATTAGCCATGCAGAGGCTAACGGTGCGTGGTTTATTTGTACGTGATTTAAGCAAACGGATCGTCTGTGCACGTGCACGCAACGACTATATACTAAACCGATTCCGGCGTAGCAAATGTAAAGCTGTAACAGGCCAACTGTTGTGCTTTTGCCTCCAAAGGAGCGCTGATTCGAGAGTTCACAAACTACACTCGCAAAAATATGCAACCTCCATCACACACCAGGCATTAGCATATATCAGTTCATCCCAAACGCAACAAGGAATTGAAGAAAGCACAGAACGCCTCAACACGGCAGACTAATTAATGAGTAACCATCGAATCGGAAAAAGGATAATGCAAAAGTCAAACATCTTGTACAACTGGTCAACAACAAAACCAGAACAGATCGACTAATTAAGCCAAAAGGTATACTGCTAGCATTTCTTCTACGTCGCGCGCCGATGCGAGATCGAGCACGTATGTAGGTGCTTACATCAAGGACTTGAGCGACCGCGCCTTCACGGGCTTCCTCCACCGCTTCCACGCGATCTTCCTCTTGCCATCACCATTGCTAGCTTTGGGATCACCATTTCCATTCATGCTGTGGCCAGAGATACCAAGTCCATCAAAGTCGTCATCGCTGCTGCTCCCCTCATCGACGCCGGCAATCCCTGCTGTGTCATCTTCGCAGCTAGATGCATCACCACGGGTTGCAGTCGCAGTCTGATTGGTATCATCATCATGACCCTCATCAACTTCAGCCTGCTGCTGACTCGGAGAAGCATCATCTTTTGCGTGATCCTCATCTTCTTCTTGCTTTGCAGGCACAGGTCCGTTCATGCCGCCGCTTCTACACTGCCTCTTGGACCGGAATGGGCCGAACCCAGCATAGTAGTAGAAGCCCTCAGTCGCACTGAGGTCACTGCCAGGCTGCTTCTTCCTCGGCTTGTTGCGTGTGGAGGACTTGGAGGCAGCTGCTGGCACTGGCACCAGCACTGGCGCTGTCTCCTCCAATTTTGCCACAGAGGGAGACTCAAAATCGGGGTTTAAGTAGGAGCGCTTCTGCACGAAATGGTACTCACAGAGGGTGTCGGGTTGGCTCACTGGCCGGTTGCAGTGCCACCGTTTGCCGTCGTTCTTCTTGCACAGCCAGACCCGTGCTCCCACATTCTGCCCCTCCTCTTTCTTGACCTTTGCCTTCTTATTGGCCTCGCCCTCCTTCTCCTTACTCATTGCAGGCTTCTTCACAGTGTCACGACGCAGCTTCGTGTTATCCCCGCCAGCTGCAGCCTGCAGGTTCTTCTTCTTCTTGGCGGAGGAGGCGGCTGGCATGGTGGCTGAGAAGAGCCAGCTCGAGCGGGTCGTGACATGGACGAAGTACTTGTCCACGATGTCATCCTCCACCTAATTCAGTGAAACAGCCAAACAAGTTAATTAATCGAAACAAAAGCACGCACAGACGGATTCCCAAACCGCAGACGGGACGAAGTGGGGGCGCGGATCTAGGGCTCGACCCGGCCGCCGCCCCCAGCGATTCCAAACCTAGGCGCGCCGCGGTGCCGAAATTAGCACGAGGGAAGAGTAGCTAACCGCTCCTAGACACTAGTCAGGCGAGTATCCCCAGCCGAAACAGCCTGCTAGACGGCTATTTGGACCCGCCGGCGGCCAACCCTAGCAACATAGACGAACCGAACACAGCGGCAGGGAAAGCTGCTGCTGCGACTCTCACCAAACCGGCGAGTTTGCGGCGCATGGAACACAGAGCAACCCGAAGTGCAGAACTGAGAGGAGAGAGTGAGGAGAAGGGGTGGGGGAGCGGAGGCGCTGACCTGTGGGTCGGGGAGGGAGAGCTCGGCGATGAGGTCCCATGGCGAGCGGCTGAGCTCGCAGGGCTCCGCAGAGGAAGCAGAGGGGCCCGAGAAGCCGGGCCCGCCGCTGGATTCGGGCGCGGAGCACGGCGCAAGGTGCGCCGCCGCCGCGCCGCCGCCGGCGGCAGCAGGTCGAACGGAGGCGCCGCACCAACGGGCGGGGCAGCGGAGGCGGAGTAGGCAGAGCCTAGGAGGCGGGAGGCGCTCTTGCGGATCCGCATGGTGCGTGCCGCGCTGATGAGCTGAAGGTGGAGGGATCTGAGGCGGGGGCGCTAGGGTTTGGGATTTTGGTGGAGTCGGGAGGTGGACTTGGCGAGGAAGATGGCGCAAAATAAACGAGAGAGGGTGATGGACTGATGGGTGGTGGACTGGTAGTGGTGGGCTTAGCAGCTTGCGTCCGATTCGGTAGGCTCCGTTCCCTTTTTATTTCGGTCTGGCCTTTTCCGCTGGTGCGCAGTGCGCTAGCTTCATGTGGCGTTGGCGCTAAGGCCACATCTCGAGATGCCTGGCGCGTTCCAGTTGCTACGCGTGCGTGGGCATGTGCATACCATCTCTAACAGTTTTTACTGAACTGCGCTTTCTAAATCGTCATTTTAAATTATTTTAGTACAAATTGCTCTTTGTATCCGATCTCACTAATTAGTGTTTTCCAAATTTCAAGATTGACAAGAAAATTCAAGCATCTGAATAAAGTCATGGACTTAAATCCGAGTGAACATGTTCTACCACATTAAACCTAACCAACCGAACTATGCTTAATTCGCATCGCTAGTTAGTGTTCTAATCCAGTAATAACGACGAGATAACCCATAACTTTTCATTTCTAGAAAAAAATTGTTTCCACTACTTTCTATTTTTTAAAAACTACAAAGTTATACTCACAAATTTTATGCATAATATTTTGGTAGAACATAACTTATAACCATAATTTCTAATCATAGTCATTTAAATGTATTTTTTACATTAGTTTATATAAACTTATCATGATAACTTTTCTATATGACATCTGAAACCCAACTTTTGTTCATAATTATCCAATGTACAAATCTTTCATAACAATTTCTCAATATAGCATTTTTAGCACAACTTTTACATAACAAATTTGCTAACATAACTTACACATAAGCTTCTACATATAAGTTTTTGTTGTTCAATATTTTTTGGGAAATATTCATAGACCACCCCACAACCTAAAAGGTTTTATACCCTAGTATCAAAGTTACAAAGTTGGGGACACGGATGACATCACGATATAAAATTCGACCCAAATATTAAAACCGGGAGCAGTGTTATCCAAAACGCTAATCAGTAAATAGTCGGCCACCCTTCGTTTAGCGTTTAGAGCATCTCCAGCAATACTACCTATCCCACTACCTATCCCCAATTTAGGTAGTCAGAGCAAAAAAAACCAACTCCAGCAGACTACCTACTACACCCCACAAATTTGTTGGCTACCAAAATCCCCCCTCCCACTACCTATTCCTATTGGGCCAGAGGTGGCTACCCAAAAGTCTGTTCGACCGTTTTTCTCCTGCGTCGTCCTCCCGTTCGACCGCACCCCCTGCTCGACGCCGGCCTTCCGCCACCACCGCCGGTGCCAGCCTTCCTCCGCCGTGGTCGGCCCTTTCCTTTGCCAGATCCAATGCCCTAGCCGCGGATCCCGTCGATCCGTCCTCCCCGGCGGATCCCGCCCGCCGCTCCATCCATCGCCGTCCAGGAGGCTCCCGTCGCCCTGTTCAACGCCGGGCCGGAGGCTCGCCGCCACCTTGTCTATCGCTAGGCCGGAGGCTCACCACCGCCCTGTTCAACGTCGACGCATTTCGGGCGCCCAATCATCGTCAAGACCCATCCTTGTGGCCTCCCGCGTGACGCGGACAACGACATCCGTCCTCCGCGCTCGCCTTCTTCCATCCTCCCTAACCATGAGGTATGACGCGGTACTGTGCCTGGATTGCTGCTCCCATATGTAGCTGCCTGAATAATTCACATGTGAAACTCTGGCCATTTGTAGATGGTTTTGTTTGATGATCATGAAGATAATATTTTCAACCAATTCTTCGAGGTCGATGATGAGTCTGATGATGATGCTCTTATTTTGAGATTGATTGCACATGATGAGGAAGAGGAGAGAAGCAAGAAGAGGCGTCATGGATCAGTCCCTGGATGCCAGGTGGTTCATAGAGACATTTCAGCTGGCAATTTGAGAATTGTCGCCGATTATTTTTCAGATGTACTTGTGTACAATGACAAATTTTTCAGGAGAAGGTTTTGGATGTCTAGAAATCTGTTTTTACGGATTGTTGATGGTGTCGAAGCTCACGATGACTATTTCAGGCAAAGGCCAAATGCTGCAGGGCTACTTGGTGCCACTGCATTGCAGAAAGTGGTTGGTTCAATCCGTATGCTTGCATATGATCTACCAGCCGATTCAATGGATGAGGTAGTGAGAATAGCAAAAGCACAATGATTGAGGCCTTCAAGCATTTTGTTAGGGCTGTAGTAGATGTCTATGGAGATCAGTACTTGAGACCACCAAATGATGATGACACAAGGAAGCTATTGGCCTCAAATGGGAGGAGAGGATGGCCGGGCATATTGTGTTGCATAGACTGTATGCATTGGCGATAGAAGAATTGTCCTACAGGTTGGAAAGGATATTATTCAGGACATGTTGATGGCCCTACTATGATCCTAGAAGCCGTGGCTTCTCAAGATTTGTGGATTTGGCACTGATTTTTCGGACTACCGGGCTCACTCAACGACATCAATGTATTGCAGCGATGACCACTCTTCCACAGGTTAACTTCTGGAACTTTTCCTTCTGTTGAGTACTTTGTGAATGGCAACAAATACACTATGGGATACTACCTAGCTGATGGCATTTATCCTTCATGGGCTACTTTTGTGAAGAGTTTTTGGAACCCATAAGGCAACAAAAAAGTTCACTTCACACAAGCACAAAAATCTGTGAGGAAAGATGTAGAGAGAGCATTTGGAGTTCTTCAATCTAGGCTTGCCATGGTGAGAGGACCTTGTAGGACATGGGACAAGGATACCATTTGGTACATCATGACCGCTGCTGTAATTTTGCACAACATGATCATAGAAAATGAGAGGGGGCTGAGGAAGAGGATTTTGACTATGAACAGGATGGTGGTGAGGTGTTGAGGCCGGAGGATTATCGTCGTGACCCAAATGTTTTGAGTGAATTCTTGCGTATATATAATGAGATTGAAGACCGAACAATTCATGAGCAACTTCGTGATGATTTGGTAGAGCATTTGTGGGCACGTCATGGTGTGTCGTAGTGAGATTTAGATTTGTTTGATTATATGGTTCTATGTTGTCGTACTTTATTTGAACTTTGTAGTATCCTATTTTGATTAATTATATTTGAACATTGTAGTATCCTATTTTGATTAATAAAGATCATTATTTATGGTTGAAATACTCTTGGTTAAATTGTAGAGGAGAAATGAAGATCATAGAGTGGCAACATGCATTTGTGAGAAAAAATAGGTAGTCTATTTTAGATAGTACCGCTGGAGACGACGGTAAAAAATGGGTAGTCTCAGACTAGGTAGCTACCCAAACAAAGAAATAGGTAGTCTGATTTGGGTAGCATTGTTGGAGATGCTCTTAGGCCATTTAGACGGTGTTTAAACTGAGTTAATCGGTCTAAGCGGTTTTGCACAATATTACCCAAATATGTATATTTATTGATGTAAAATCAATTATTCTAGCATTTATACATTTTTATGCAAGTACAAATCAATTATTTTAGTATGTGTATATATTTATGCCGCAAAAAGAGTCAAATATACATATTTATGCATGTAAGAAATCAAGTATACATATTTATTAATATAATAAACTTTAGTATATAAATTTATGCATATAAAATTTAACTAGATTTACCCGATGTTCGCCTAAACAGCCGTTAAACAGTCGTTTAGCCCGTTTAATATCGTTTACCTCTGTTCCATTTAGGACGTTTAGACCATTTACTCCCCGTTTTTTTACCGTTTAAACGGTCAACCGTTTAATTTCCGTTTGTCCCTAAACAAAAAAAACTTTCCACCCTTTAGAGCAAGATAATAATATAATATAATGCAACCGACTACTGGCTGTATGAATCCTCGCAATCTACCTCTCAGCCCACCCATATAGTAGTTATATCTTCATTATTAATACATGACACACTTGTCTCTCTCGTCGAGTTTTTTGCTTTTTGTGTCCAAGCCGGCTATAAGCTTACAGTCCACTTCTCTCTCTCTTCCCTCTCTCATCTAGCTCAGCATTCAGCCTACTTATAGCCTCTTATTATACTTGCTCTTAGCGGCAGGTCGTTTAGACTAACACTGATCGAGAGTTTGGGACCCAGATGACATTGCCATGCAAGTTTAGGGATCCACTTGTGAATTTTCCTAAATAAATAGCCTTAAGCCCTACTCGTCAAATGAACTGGTGATGGTAGGAGAAAGCTTCGATGAAGATAAAATATTGATTCGGTGGTTGGAGGCAACTAAATTATGATAAGAGCTTTACAAGAAATCCAGTGATAGTCAAAATTTGCCTAGTGATTACACAAAACGATGGCACCGACATTAATGCTTCACAGTTGTAGTTTTCTGTCATATCTTGTTTGTGTGGTAGTTGCTTATAGCGATTGCTAGCTAGCTTAGAGTAGCTTTATTGTAGTTGTAACTAGTTGTTAGTTGCTCCTTTTGTAACTCTCTAGTTATCTTGTGTGATTAGTAGTTCTTTTTGTGGTGTTGTGCTCTAGTGTAGAGATAAAAAAACTACTAGACTTGTTTAGGGGCTTGCTTTCGTGAAATTAGAGCTAGTGCAAGTAGTGGCTAATAGGGCTTGCTATTTTTCTGATCACCTTTGCACTAGTGTTATAAAAGTTTATAGGAAAATTTTTATAAGCAATTCACCCACCCCCAAACATCTACCGATCTAGATCCTATCAGTATGGTAGGCATAAATCCTTAGTATTGGGCCATCTGTGCAGTTAGCTCCATGTCATCTTGCCCAACTCGGTCGGCTCTAGAATATACTCTAGTGATACTGTAGTGGGCACAAAATTTAGCACTAGACATGTCAATTGTTGTCTTACCTTGCTTGGTTGCTTTGGAACATACTGAAAGGGTCTAGGATGGCTAGGAGAGGGTGAATATTCTTGAGATTCTTAATTGATTCGTGGTAAGGTGACGGTTGACCGATTTTCACTTTACTAAGCTTTTGGCAGGCAAGTTTGTGTCATGACTTCCATTGACTCACATAGCTTTAGCATAAAGTATTGTTTACATGTAGGACAATATGCTTGAAGTTGCAGACTATTATAAGATTAGTACTCATTACTTTTACTACACACCATTGTGTTGGTACTTATGTTTTTGCAGCTCATTTGTTGGATCAATGTGCTTATGTGCACTGGTTTATGCCTCTACAGATCACTCATTTGGCTGGCTTTACCTACCAATTCAAGTGCTCTTTGAAATGTGCTTCCAAAATATTGTTTTTCATTATTAGTGGTAGAACGAATTGTCGCATTTATAGTGCTTTATTCACCTGTTGTATGTTCATGGATGATGTATTGGAATGCTCCTGCTGAAATGGATTCATGCCTATATCCTAGTTACCCTTTGTTGCCGTGACCAGTACATAGTGCTTTTGAGAAGCTCCAAACTCTACTGCACATGAACCACATTTTTCAGGCTAAATTTATTATGCACTATCTTGAAGTGTAATGGGCTTCCGTCTAGCCAAGTAAATATTGCAATATGACTATTTATCAGTGTGCTAATGTTGATATGTAATCCAAATCTGCAAGCAAAGCTTAGTATATTAATTATTTTCTGATTTTTCATTTTTTTCTTATTTGGTTGTGTTGTTCACTATGCATTATGTAGATCATGTGGGTGCATGATCATGAAATATTTACTTAGTAATTAATGCTTTTGAGAAAATACTTAATCACCAAAAGAGGCCAGAGCAACCAAATAACAATTGGATTGCTTAAAATTGTGATCCAAATTTGCCACTAGCCCATAACTCTGTTGCCCTATCATGATCTATGTACACCATACCTTATGTCAGTCCATGATACCTAATCAGCCATGACCAACAGACGAAGGCCACACTATTTTTGCTTCTACTGGTTGCACCTAGCTATTTATGTGTTTGGTCAACCGCTGATCGACGTCTGATGTTCAGCGTCAAGGGAACTTGCCGCTATGATGATCAACTCTGTCTTTTGAAAACGCCATGGCTGCAAAAGTGTAGTTTGTCACTCCAAGCTACTAGCTAAGGTGTTTAATAGTCGCGAATTCATGATCATAAATTGTAACCAATAGTTATGTAATGCATGATTGAGTAGAATCATAAAGGCTATGGTAGCCACACATATAATTGATGGTCATGTAATGTTTGGTTGAACAGAACCATGACAGCCACAGTGGCCGTACAAAAAATGCTATATGTGTGTAACTCCATAATTTCTGTCATGTTTCAATTTGATATATGTACTGCCAAACCCAGGGTCAGATGACCACGTACTGAAGAGATTAGATTTAATCTATTGCTCAACTAGTAAATCGCTCGTGCTTATAAAAAGCTTTAGATCTACTAATGGATATATGTTTGATCTGTGTACTGACACTATGGTAACGGTTAGAAATTTAGGTATTTTCATTATCAGTTTAATCTAGAAAGATAACATCAGAAGGTTCGTGACGACATATATGTGCATGTGTATATCTCTAACGAACGCTACAGCATCCAGAGATGACATATAAATAAATACAGTAAAAACGTAGATAACAGTAATCAGATAGATTAGACTGTACCCAGCGGAGGGTCCCATGCCGAGGGCATCGGAGGCTCCATTCACACTAGTCGACATA